CCCTTCCCATTCCTGGGGTCCATGCATTTTTCCCTTAGAGCTCTTCTTGTTTCCTAATTTCTTTGGTGAAGAGGATTGTAGGCTGGTAATCCTTTGCTCTCTGTCTAAAATCCATATATGAGTGAGTACATACCATGTTTGTCTTTTTGTGACTGGGTTACCTCACTCAGAATGGTTTCTTCTAGTTCCATCCATTTGCCTGAAAATTTCAGGATTCTATTGCTTTTTTCTGCTGAGTAGTACTCCATTGTATAAATGTACCACATTTTCTTTATCCATTCTTCAGTTGAGGGGCATCTAGGTTGCTTCCAGGTTCTGGCTATTACAAACAATGCTGATCCACACCCCTGAACATGGATGTCAATTAGGAGGCCTCTGCACTCTAGTGGGCCCCTGGTAGTGGATTAGGATTTTTCCCTGGTGTAAGAAGGTTCTTTGAGAGTCCATCCCACCTGAAGGGATGCACTCTCAGCCTAGACACATGGGAGAGGGCCTAGGCCTGGCTCAGGATGATGTGGTGGACTTTGGGGAGTCCCCCTCGAGGGCCCTACCCTGGCTGGGGAATGGAGGGTGGATGGGGTGGAGGTAGGTCAGGGATAGAGGGGGAGGGGTGGAAGGGAGGGGAGGGAGAGGGAAAAGGGATTGACATGTGAGAAGAGCTTGTTCCTAATTTGAACTAATAAAAAAATACAAAGTTATGTGGTTTGTTTATTTATTTATTTATTATTCTTATAGCAATTCCAGGCAGTTCAGGCCCTTGCCTACTACCACGTATTTTACTTTTCTGCTTTCATTCCGAGCCATTTAGTTTGCACCATGTGATCATACAGAGCAATTCAGCTCTCCTCAGTGTGGCTCCTGCCTTTGCTGGACACATGCAAGCACTCTCTAGCTGTTAGACTCTAGGTCATCTACTTTCTTATCGATCTCGAGCACTGAACCAATATAAATATTTTTTCTCTAATATTGACCTTGCCATCTATCACCAGAGGCTTACAAACAGGAGAAATTGCTATGATTAGCTTGCATTTCAATAACATTTTTCCTTCTGTTATAACTAGTCTGGAAGGCTCACGAGGGGGCAGAGACTATGGGCTCAACTGATGAGAAAGACTTTGGGAAAAGGACAAGATTGGAATCATGGAGGTGACTTTAATGCAAGTGTCGATTGTAAATCAAAAACTTCAGATTAGGAGTCTCTAACCAAATAAAAATGTTTCTATTTTATAAGTCACCTAAAATGTCATACATAATTTCTAAATAAGAAAAATATCCATTGCAGTACTGGAAAACAATCAGATGCAGTCCCTCCAAGCAAGTAAAGGAGGGTGGAGAGATACAAGCAGGCAGCCACCCCACACCATGTTGTCCAGACACATCATTTTACACAGCCGAACAGAGCAAAGAGGACTCTGTGCTCCCCCTCTAGCTTTTCCTCCCTCTGGCTGTTTCTCTGAAAAGAAAAGAGAGCTACAGATATGGATTGCAGCCTCCTTCTTTTGCAGAATATCCAAATTGGGTTCCTAGCACCAATATTGGTGACACACACTGGCCTGTTTATCCCCAGAGGATCCAATACTCCCTCTTCTGGCCTCCTCCGGCACTCACAGGCACATGCACACACACAAATAGACAGACACAGACACACACAAGTATTAAAACATTTTAGATGAAAAAGAAAAGGAGGGAGGCAGGGAAGGAAGGAAAGAATGGAGGGAGGGAGGGAGGAAGGGAGGGAGGGAGGGAGGGAGGGAAGAAGAAAGGAAGGAAGGAAGGAAGGAGGCACTAAAAAGGCTGGAAACAAGGAAGAAGAGGGAAGGGAAAACAGAAAAGGAGTGACTTTTTAAGCAGTAGGTTCAAGGGCAGCAGGCATGAACAACAGTCCTGGCTGGATGAGAGCAGCTACTCCAGCCCTGCTTTCAGAACTGCTGTCTGACTGAAAGATCAGTCTTCCATTTCCAAATCAATGGAAACTTGAACATGGAGCTTCTTTAGGATGGTTGTTGGCATCAGAAAAACAAAGAACCCCAGGTAATATGTGGTCCTTCAAGATCCCATTGGAAAAACAAGAAACTTGACTAATTACTGTGATATGTGTTTCCTGCTTCATCAAGTTGACCACAAAAGGTTCAAAATCTACTGTAGCCAGAAAAGCAGGGGATTTTCAGCTGGACTAAGAAAATGCACTCAGCAACCAATCCAATTCAACACAGACCTCTGAAGTGTATGGATATATAACCAGCAAACGCCAATCATTTTAAGAAAACCAAGGAAACAAACTCCAAGAGCAGAAGAACTAATTCTTGAAGAAATGGAGTTAATAGTCAAGAGTCAAGAGCTTTCACTTCACAAGATGAACAGATGGCTGTGGGGGACAATCTACTAGAATCCTTGCAAATTAAAAAAAAAAACACCCAAATTAAATAACAGATGGCCTAAAGATCAAAATTTAAATAACATAAGATTGAAGTAGTAAATTAAAATATGTGGCCAAAGAATTCTCCTAGGGTATAGTAAAAAATAATGAGCTGAAAATACATACAGAATCGAGACAGAAAAGAGAGATGCAGGAGGTCCAACACCCAACTAATTGGAGTTCTAGACGAGGAGGAAAATGCTCAGACTCACCAATCATTAGGGAACCATGAATCAAAATCCCAGAGACACCGTTCCATACAGCGTTAGGGTAGCTGGGATGGGCTGCTATTTCAAAAAAAAACAAAATCAAAAATATAAAATAGGAAGTGTTAGGGAGGGCATGAAGAAATTGTTACCTTGGGCATGCTGGGAATATCAGTACCACCATTGAGGACAATGGTGTGTTTTCGTCTTAGTAATGGTTCTATAGCTGTGAAGAGACACCATGACCAAGGCAACTTTTTTTGAAACCATTTAATTGGGAGCCTGCTTGCAATTTTAGAGGGTTAGTCCATGGTGGGAAGCCCAGTGCCAGAGCAGTAGCTGAGAACTGTATGTCCTGATCCATGGGCAGCAACAAATGAGGGGATGTAGGGAGACTGGGTCTGGCATGGGTTTTTGAAACCTCAAAGCTCACACCCAGTGACACCTCTTCCTACAAGGCCGTCTCTCCTTATCCTTCCTAAACAGTTCCACCAACTAGGGGCCAAGCATTCAAATATATGAGTATGGGGGCCACTCTCATTCAAACCACCACAGTTACTCAGAAATTAAACATTATCATGGAAGCCAGACATTCCATTGATGCATATAAATAAAAGAATTAAAGGCAAAGGATGCAAGCACTCATTTTATGGTAACCAAAAGGTGCAGAGTCTAAGTGTCCACAGATGGCTGAACATGTACTCAACATGTGGTTACCCATACAGAGAAATTAAAAGGATATTTACTTAAATTTAATAAAGAAATAAATATCTGATATATGTTACAAACATGAATGTCTGAAAGAAGTCTGTGAGTGCACAATGTATCCATGATGGTTGAATATGTATAATTCAAAGATTTTCTCCAGGTCTATGTTTTAGCTCTTCCTCTTCACCCTTTGTACATGTGCTTGAACGAGTTCCCTGAGCTGTAACTCCAACCTCATCATGAGGTTTTTGATAAGCAGACTGAAAATTGATTCCAGTTTATCATTTTCCCTTATACATGACAGTTTTTGTATCCTAAGACAATTCCCAAGGTCACAAAGATATGCCTCTGTAGTTTTTTTTTCTAGAAATTTAATAGCCTAGTTTTTCCCTTTCTGTTTCTGTAGTTTGTCTCTGTCTCTGTCTCTCTGTCTCTCTCTCTGTCTCTCTCTGTCTCTCTGTCTCTGTCTCTCTCTCTCTCTCTCTCTCTCTCTCTCTCTCTCTCTCTCTCTCTCTCACACACACACACACACACACACACACACACACACACACCAGTATGCTTGCCTGTGTGGAAGCTAGAGGTTGACATTGATATCTTTTTCCTATTGCTGTTTACCCCACTTTTCCCAGAGGGTATTACTGAACCAAGAGGATGCTGTTTGGGTGAAACTTGCTGGCCAGTGAGTCTCAGGATCCATCCATTGGTCTCTGTCCTGCCCGATAGGTTTACAGATGCATGAATGCATGCAGCCTGCCCCACCCCCTTTTTAATGTGGGTGCTCCAGTTCCCAACTCAGGCATGTCTTCATGCTTGCACAGAGGATCCTCTACCTACTTGAGCCATCTCCCCAAACCTCTATTCTTTCCTTTGTAAGTATGTAAGTCTTCTGTTGGTTTTGAATATGTTGTGAGGTGTTCATCATGGTTCAGTATTTTTCTATATACATGTATTCAGATGTTCCAACACCATTTATTGATCACTCAGTCTATTCTGAAAGTAATACTCATTGTCTTGATAACTCTGGCTTTATAAACAATTTTATAATCAAATAGTGTAAATTTGTCAGTTTAGGATCCTTTAAAAGATTCTGTCATCTATTATTCTAAAATGTTTAACATTCTTTCTACACAAGACATGCTGGTATCTTGTGATGAAATTACATTAAATCTGTATACCATTTAGGAAAGTGGAACTGATTTTTCTCCTTCCTTCTGTAAAGCTATCCATGCCCTAATTCTTAGATTTATAAATATGCTAGAGTATATGGCAAAGAGCAAAATCAGCTTGTTACTCAGACAGCTTTGAAACATGGTGGTTGACCTGGCTCATCTGGTTGGGCTCAGGGTTGACATTTAGGTTCCTTAAATGTAGAAGAAGGTGAGAAAAGAGGCAGTCAGAATGATACAATGCAAAAGGAACTTGGCAAGCTGTCACTGTCTTTGAAGGTGGATAGGTACTTGTGAAAGAGAATGAGTGGGTGGTCTATGGGAGCTGGGAAAGGTAAGGAAACTGATTCTTCCTCAGAGCCACAAAAGGAATGTAGTCCTGATCTGATGAGGCCCAGATCAGAATTCCAACCTACAGAGCTGTAAGAAAATAAATTTGTGTTATTTCAAACCTCTAAGCTTGTGGTGATTTGTCACGACAGTCACAGGAACCGACATAATTGATATCTTCGTGATATTGAAGTTTCCAATCTATGACCATGGTGTGGCTCTCCATTTATTTAGGTGTTACCCAATTCCTCTCTACAGTGTTTTATAGCTGTCAGGGTAGCAGTCTTGTGTATCTTTATTAACTTCATTCCTAGGTGTTTCAGATTTCCTGATGCACAGCATAGATCTGCATGTTTGAAACAGAAGTCACCCAAGGTACAAGCTAGAAGAAACCACTTAAATAGCACTTTGATAAATTGCTAGAGCTGAGTGTGGACTAGCAGAGCAATTCCTGGGATCCACAGTCTGAGAGGGACCTTCCGCCTTGGTAGATGCTGTCTCCTGGAACTCTTAACAGTGGAAAGCTAAGAAACATCTCCTGGTGGCTGTGAAGGGAGGAGAGAAAGGATAATTGCTGTGAAAATCATCCAGAAGTTTCCCTACAATGATGGCCTGTTAGCCAGGGAAGAGACTTTTCCAGAAACAGTTGACCACCACTACCAGGTTTCTAGTATAACAATAGTGTACCACAGCCTTAAGAGTGTAACACAAAGTTGTAGGGAGCCGTTCCTGCATTCTCCATTACAATAATGGTGCCTGAAGACACCAAAATGTAGATTACTTCACAGGTGCTGGGTAATCTCCATTCCTTTGATCTCTGCCTATCCCGTGGCTCATTTGGCCTGAGGAGCTAAAGCCATTCATAGGGTAACACGTCCCAGGCGGCTGCTTGCCAGCCTTTATTAAGGGATGGGTTTCTTGATTTAGGGTCTCCGCTCTGGTAAACTTATGCTCTCCCAACTCTCAAGATGCATTAAAGCTTGTCTGCAGAAGGATCCGAATGTCCTGCGTGTATTTCTTGCCGGCGAGAACATACAGCGCGCGGGACACAAAGTTCTCCTTGAAAAGAAGTATTTGTGATCATCTAAAGTCAAGGTGAGAAAGAACAACAGAAATGCAAGAGGAATGGCTACGCCTCCAGCAAACATTAAATGGTTCAAATGCCAGATTGTCACAGATTCTCAGGTTACTATCCTATTTACCCCCTTCCATAACCTAATGGGATATGTCTAACTTTCCTCAGACCAACTGTGGGAGGAGGGAGAAAAGAAAACTGTCACTTCCCACCCACAAATTCACGTTGTTTCCAAGGGCCTTTCGGGCTACAGGTTGTAATGCTGGCCTTCCACCATTTTCAATAGCCTAGCTGGCCCTTCCTCAAATAAATCTATCAAGTTTCGCTTGGGTCTTCTCAGCCTGCAAGTATCCAAATTCAGGATTTACTCTGGAAGCCTCTGGAACTACTATTCACCTGTGAAGTTCTGTGTAAGACATTTATTTATTGGGGTTTCCTTGTGCCAACACTCCTCTATCATTCCCTTTGTCTGACTTTCACATGAGTTGAACATTGCTGGTATTGTCTTGAGGAGTCATCTGAGCCCTTTGTATCTTAACTCTCTCCCCTTGGGTTATTTGTATTATTCTCTTCCTTCCCAATTTCCCTCACACTCAGTGTGTTCTGTTGGGCCCGAAAGGGGGACCAACTTCTGGAGACGCACCCCACAGAGTCACTCACAGGATGCAAGTTCGATGCAAAAGCAAAAGGATTTTATTCCAATGCGTCAGGGTCTTTCTCTGAGAAGAGAATGACCCTGAGTTTCTAAAGCAAACAGTTTTTATATCTTTTTGGTCATAGGCAGGAGTGTGACAACATATTGATTGGCTATAACATACATGAGTCATTTACTGATTGGTTGGGAACTAAACTTACAATTTTGCCCAAGCGGGGTTTGGAATGTTATTTTGGTTTTTATACCTGCTAGGCCATGGGACACCTAGTGGTTTTTCTGGGAACAGAGTGACTTGTACTTATTTTCAAAACTTGGGTGCTCTGGAGCAGGGTAACCCAGAACAATTTTTAGAAACCAGACAGTTGCTGAGGATAATAACATTCCTTGGAAACTAGTAATAATAACAATTTCCAGAGACTGGTCATCATGACTGACCATTTCATGTGCTCTTTTTCCCAGAGCTGTGTGTGTGTGGCCAGAGTGATTTTCAAATTCATGTTGGTGGGTATCAGGTTGGGTTTGAGTTGGGGTCTTTCAGTTCTAGTTTGCTCTCTGTTGCTGTGATAAAGACCATGACCAAGGGCAACTTAGGCGGAAAGGGTTTATTTCAGCTTGTATTTCCAGGGAATAGTTTATCCCTGAGGAAACTCAGAGTGGGAACTATGGACAAACATTTTGCTCTCTCTCTCTCAAACTCTCTCTGTCTCTGTCTCTGTCTCTGTCTCTGTGTCTCTGTCTCTGTCTCTGTCTGTCTCTCTCTCTCTCTCTCTCTCTCTGTGTGTGTGTGTGTGTGTGTGTGTGTGTGTGTGTGTGTGTCTCATTTACTGTCTTCTTGCTTTCTTATATAGGCCAGGCTCACTTGCCTAGGCATAGTGCTGCTCACAGTGGACTGGACCAGCCCACAACAATCATCAATAGACAATTTCTCACAGACATGGTCACAGGCCAGTCTGATCAAGACAATTCTTCAGTTGAGGTTTTCTCTTCCCAATTGGCTTTAGGTGGTATCAGGTTGACAATATAACTAACCAGTTTTTACACATTAACTTGCTTATTATACACACAACTCCTAATTGTTTTCATTATTCAAGGTTTGCTTAACTGTTCATGCCTTGAACCATTCACTATTTTCTTTAAAACTTTGTCTTAACAGGTCAAATGAAAGATCTGTGGCTCTTACACAGCAGCCAGTAATATAATTACAGTAACAGACCATCTTTTGGGTCCAAGAAGCTTCTCACTTTCCTTAATGCTGTGGACAATGTGTTTACTTTCTTGGTCGACTGCCTTCCTCATTCTCTACTGGTCAATCAAAATCATAATTGATCAAAGGACTTTTATTTACTAATTATTTTATGTAGAATCTAAAGCTTTAAAAAAGAGCATAATTTAGTTTCTTAACCACATCCATTGGGTGGGACAAACCAAGTCTGTGCTGTTTGTCTAAACTGTCTTGGAATTTAGGCCAAAGGTGTGGCAATGGCACTTCTGATGTCACCTTTGAAACTGGCAGGGAAATATAAGCTGTTCCTTCTTCAGAATTATTGAAAATTAACATTGTGAACAGTTTAATTATGCGTGGCTACAAGGGAAAAATATCCATGTGGCATGGACTAATTAAAGAGAGGGTTGTTGTGAGGACTTAAAGCATCCCAAAGGAATCCAGTTTTAGCAAGGACAGGGGAAATTTGCAGAACCAGAATGTTACCAATACCCTCTTTCTGCTCCTACTTCTCTCCCATCCTTGTCCTTCTGGCCCTAAGATCCCTAGTTTCTGCTGCAACTGCCCACTCTTTTGTCTTGGAGAACACACATCTTTCAAGTATTGCTAGCTCTGTTTACAGGTGCTCTTTCACCCTGCATACCTTTAACCAGGAAAGAAAATGGGAGATTAGGGTAAGATTTCAGCTTTGCTATAATCAGCTCCTAGTATTGAGTAGGCAAGAACATGTTATTTCAGATGCCAGTTAATGCCAAGTATGCCCTTGTATGAGGGGATACAGGCCTCAAGAGACAGCTGGACAGAATGGCACTCATCTCTAATACAAGGTTTTGGCAAGCTGACTTACCTACTATTGCTATTACCAAGTATCAATAGTAACCTAATCCTTGGTTTTGTAAAGTAGGACAGAATTACCTACAAATAGACCACTCGGTCTCTCCCCTGTCTATTAAGAGAGAGGTAATGTTCATACATTCTGTTTTATTTCCTCTACTTTATTTTATTGATGTTATGGAATATAAGTAGGTTCCTTTCATCTATAAAAATCTATGTCTCCCTCTTTTTGTAATTTTTTCTTTTTTAAGATTTTTAAATTTTATTTTATGTATATGGGTGTTTTGCATGCATGTATGTATATGCACTGTGTGTACTGTTGATGCCTACAGAGGTCTGAAGAAGGTGTCAGGTCCCCAGGAACTAGAGTTACAGACAGTTGTGAACCACCATGTGGGAGATGGGAACCAAACTTGCATCTTCTGTGGGAGCAATTGGAAATCTTAGCTATTTCTCTGGTCTCTCTTTTCATTTTTAAAAAGAGGGGGAGCCTGAGTAAACACAGTACTAACTACCACAGATTATGCACTGAAGTTTCCCACATTTGCAGACTGCCAGGGTCAGGACAGACAGAGCACGCTGAATGGGCCTCACCTTTGGAAGGCAACCTTCATGGCAATGGCATCTCTGTCTCTGAGGTGTCCTCACTACCTCAAGAGGGTGCTTGGTGAAGCCAGAAAGATCACTACCTACAACTGAATTTATTCCTTGCTTTTGATCATAGTGTTTAAAACTAAGACAACTTCATCTGGATGTCTTTTCCCAGACTCTCTCAGTTAAATATCATAATTCTTCATGCATCTTATAGAAATGATAAGTCTTACCTTTATATGCTCTCTTCTTGTTATGTGACATTCAAATCACTTACTGAACCTACAGGATTGATTTTTCCCCATTAGAAGTAAAATTCTCACATATTAAAAGCTAGAAAGGGACTAAAGAGACTTCAGTTCCTAAAAGCAACACCTTTGTGATTTTTTTCAGGGTTTTAACAAATTACCATAAAATTATCACAGAATCTCTCTCTCTCTCTCTCTCTCTCTCTCTCTCTCTCT